TAATTAACATGTTTAAAGGAGGAGCTATATTATTTTCTTAAATAAATCAGCTTAAGTAATTGTAAATGTGAAAAATGTATGAAAAAAAAAAATCACTTCAAACTATACAATCAACCTAAAAAGTATGATACATATATGCATAAGAGTTGTGTGAATCATGACTCTTTCTATCCACACAAGCATGATTAGGGATATTTATAGGTGGACAAATCCCAAATAAACAATACAATACCACGTAATTATTAATTAAGATACAGTTATGCTTAATTCTCTTATCTTATTAATTAGCTATAGAATTCCTAATTATTGTAGCAATTATTTAAAATATATATATATATATATATATATAGGATATCTTGATTATCAAATAATTTTAATACCGATGAATAAATGTAGATTTAAACTTAAAATTTGTTCTTTTATTATTATTTTATTGTCTCTTCGTGAAATGATAATCTTGCCCCTCACCGTTAAGGAAAAGGTAATAATGATCATCTTTTTGGACTCAAGATATGGTTATTGAATAATTTTTCAAACATTAGGGTGATTTTTTACGATTAGACCTAAAATTAGCATATAAATAACACTTACTGAAAACATAAAGATGATTTATGAAATTAACCCATCAAAATATGGTACCTTACACCGATTCACTAATTGGTAATAATATTAATCAACTAGACAAAAATAATAACAATTATATTAATTAATCAAAAGTTAAATACAAAAAGACAAAATAAATGGTCAAAATCCCTTATTGTTTGAAAGAGTAAACGACATATTCCCACCCGAGGTTTGGCGAAATCCCAAGCGGATACCCTCAGTTCCATTTATTCCAAATCTCTACCCTTAAATGAACGTTGTTAAAGATGGTTTGATTCTGTGACAGGCTACTACGAAACTGCCCTTCACCCCATTTCAAACCATAGTCCATTCTAAGCCACCCCCTCCCAAACCGCCGCCACAATTGGCCAAACCACCCCCATTCCAAACCACCACCACAGGCGGCCCATCCTACAATCAATCAACAAATCAAATTCACTCCAAGACACAGGTGGTGAGTGACGGCAGTGGCAAGGAAAATCAGTGGCAGCGGGGAAAACAACTAGAAAAAAAACCCACAATCAATCAATAAATTAAATTCGCTCCAAAATACAACAAAACACACAGCAAATCAAACTCAAAACAAAGGCTCCAAATCAACCCAAATCCAGTTGTCGCATGAAGAGATGGGGAAGTGATGGACGATGACGGGCAACCAAACAACTGTCAGAGATGGAAAGGGTTTTGAGAGGGGAGGTCAATGAGGTGAATGGCGGTGACGGGAGGGATTTCTATTGCCGGAATCGATGGGAAAATGGAAAAATCACGCAAACCCTAGATTTGTGGTGATCGGCAATTAAGGGCTTCTCTTGGATGGGGGTGAGAGCGGTTTTGGCGTGTTGATTAAGGGGAAGTGATTGGTGGTGATAGGGGTATCCGACGACGTCGGAATCAGGTGGTTGGGTGCTGCACTCATGGGAAAGGCAAAATCACGCGGTGAAGAAGAAGAAAATTTAAGAAATGTAAGAGGGAGATGGATAGTCACAGCTAGATCTGGGCTTCATTACCGGAAAGGACTGGAAAATGGCCGACGGTGGCACTGGCAAAGATGAGAGAAAGTGGAAGATGAAAAGGTGGAGGTGGAGGTGGAGAGAAATTTGAGATTTGGGTTTTCTAGGGTTATTTTGTCCTTTTAATTTCAAAATAGGGTAAAGACTATTCTAGCCTTTCATTGTTGAAATAAAGAAAACATAGTTAGTTTAAGGGTGAAAATCTGGAATAAAAGGAACTGGGGGTATCTGCTTAGAATTTCGCCAAACCTCGGGTGGAAACATGTCGTTTACTCAGAGTAAAACTACAAACTGTTTATAGTACTCACCCTTTTTATTATATAAATAATCCATGCAACTTAAAATTATTTTAATTTACTCCTATATCTCAAGTTATATTTGACACGTTTGACTTAATTTGTTTTTACTTTTTATCAATAACCAAAAAAGAAAAAAAATCTATAAATTAATTACATAAACATAAAACCTATTGAAAAGAGTACTCAAGAGAGTGACACAGAAAGGCCCAACACTTAATGAAGAAAATATATTATTTTTTTCACTTCCAATTATATAGACAAGGAACATGAAAAACTTATATGAAAAATACATGAAAAACTTCACTTCAAACTATACAATAAACATAAAAATATAATACATATATGCATAGTAGTTATGTGACTCAAAAACATATAACTTTTGTGCTATGTTTCCCATAATCATCTGTTGATCTTTTAAAGATAAAAATTAAAAATTAAAAATATTTTCCTTATGAAATGTTCACTTTCTCACTCGCAAAAACTACCCAAAACAAATAATTTATGTTTCCTTAATATATTTATTTAATCATATGTTGACCCGCCCCACCCCTTCAGCCCAACCCGTCTACAGCAAATTTATTAAAAACTTTTTTTTTTTATCTTTAATATATTTTGTATAAAATTAGAATCCCATAATTTAAGATTTTGAGTCATGTATCAAATTATCAAAATTTGTGATTGTTATCTTAAATATATTTTAATTATGAAATAAAAGTAGTTTAAAGACATGGAGTCTAATCTTACTAAAGCGGTAAATTAATCTTTCCATGATGGAGATGAAGTATTGAAGTAAATAAATTTAAGATTGAATCAATGCAAATGTTAAGATTTGGGAGTCAAATAACAAAATCGATCTATGAAAATGTTAATTCACCAAGTAAATTGTGTTAAGAATATTGAATATAGTTTTATTAATTTTATGAAAATATTAAATTTTTTCTTAATTCTTTGTAATATTTAATTAAAAATTAAACATTAAAATACAACTAAGATTTTTGAATTTAGAATCATATCTTTGTTTGAAAATAACATTATTTTATTTTAATTTAATGGTTTACAAATTACAAAGACTTGATGTATGAATTATGCTATTGAATTGTTGATGTATCTCTAATTATATTAATAATTTCTTATTATTTGATTTTGATTTATGCCCCCTTATAAAAATTTTTTTAAATTTTAAAAAAGTATTAATCATATTGTTATATTAAGTTTTTATTTACTATGTTTAATGGTTTATCATAAAAGAATTATACAAAATCAATATTAAAAAAAAGTTTGAAATAATCTACCGTTCGGGGAAAAAATCCCCGCAAGGATCAATACCTACAAATCCCTAACTTTCGGGGCGGGGATAGGAATTCCCCGACATCCCCTGTCGAGGATAGGGTAGGGATTGGTGCTCCCCCAAGGGGTCGGGGACCCCATTCCTCAGCCTTGACCCGACCCGCTCCACACCCACTCTCATCTTCTCACTCAACCATCAAGGAAAAGGTAATAACGATCATCTCTCCAGAATTAGGGTGGTAATTGAATAATTTTTCAAACGTTAGCAGTGATTTTTGAAATTAGCATCTAAATAACACTTTCTGAAACCATAAGGATGATTTATGAAATTAACCCATCAAAGTTACTACGTTACACTCATTCATTAATAATTAATAATTACTAATTAATCAACTCGACCAAAATAATAATAATTATATTAATTAAACAAAAGTTAAATAAAAAAGGCAAAATAAACGGTCAAAGTCCTGAAAGAGTAAAACTAGATTAGCGAGTCTCACTAGGAGAGTGCTTATCTTCGTAACAAACTGCAGATAATACTCCCTTTTTTATCATATAAATAATCTATGCAACCTCCTTTTTCTCTAGCTTTATTTTTCACTTCTTTTTCTTCTCTTAATCGAATTAATATTCTGAATTTTTAACAATTTGTTTTACACTTTTTTATTATAACTTCTAGAAGTTTATTGTGGTTAATTTATCTAAGTTATGAGATCGCTTGCTTTTATCAGCTTCTAGCAGGGAGAGATTGCGGCATATTCTTGAGTTGCTGTGTAGGGCAAATTTCTTGATCAAATTTTCATCAATAAATGACAAAAGTATTTCACCGGTTATCTCGTTATTTTCCGGCGACTCTAGTGATTTTTGGGCCTAGTTTGCCGATTGAGATCGTCGACAGTCGGTCTTCGCCTTCCCCGGAGCCTCAAAATCCTAGTTTGACTGTCACCAAGCTCTATAAAAGGTTAGTAACACTTGGTTAAACAATGAGGATTTTGTTTAATTTACTTTCTCAATGTATTTCACTCTTTGTTGCTACTATATTTTTTTGTTAATTTCTTGTTAGTCAAGTTTGCTTTATTTTATGTGGGTTGATATTTTCGAGCTCAGGGATTTCGGTTTCTTTTGATATTTTCCAGTTGGGATGCATCTGTATGCTCGTTTGATAAAATATGATATATTTGACAGTTACAATTATGTCTACTATGTTTATATATTGGTATGTTTTTAAGGAACCCGACGCTTTCACATAGTAGTTGCTTTCATTAGCAATCTTGTAATTGCATCAAAGGAAGAAATCTTGTTATCTTTTTCAAGTAGGTAGGTTTTTCCTTTTTTGGCTGTTAATTCTTTTGTTTAATCTCCTGTTTTAACTTTGAATTGACTGAATAAAAGGATAAAATAAAAACATTTTAATTTAATACTAATCTCTGCCGTTTTATTATTTTGGATTAAAAAAAAAAAAAAAAACGATGTGATTTGAAAGAATACTGTTTCATAATGTTCCTTATGCTTAGTGATGAAATTGTATAAGCTTCCAAGAGGGTGATATTTAAGAGAGATTATCAGAATTAGAAAAAAACAAGAAATTTGGGTAAAGGGAGAGAGAGAGATCAATAAAGAAAGCATCATTTTCATATGAAAATAAAGCCCCACTATCACCAAGATTTTATGCAAGAAATGACTAAGTTTGTGGCACACACTCTTCTAAACCCAATATAAATTTCCTTTGAAAATGACCCCCCTTCCCCCTCCTCCTCTATATATTTGAACTCTCACTCTCCATTCTTCATCGCCCACAAAACTCATATTATTTCTCTCTTTGTAAGTTTTTCTATTTCTTAGTTTTTATATTTTGTTTTCTTATAATAATATACAAGCACATTATGTGTCTTTTTTATCTTAATTTGTTGATTTATCAGCCTGGTTGTTAATATGCTTTATTTTATGTTCCCTTTCTCATTTTCTTATATTATTTTAACCTCATGCTATATATATATATATGGTTGACTTGGCTATTGCTATTTGAATCAACAAAATTGTATAATATTTGACTATTGGTTAATTAATATTTATTTTATTTGCAGAATAAACCTCCAATGGCTTCTATGGATTCCCTCAGTGTCACCAACCTTCAAGCTGCCCTAAGCGTTAGTAATTAATTAATCACTTAATCAGAAAATTAGCAAAAAAAAAAAAATGTTGAAAATATTAATATCATGCAAATTAGTGCGTACTAATACTTTTTATTGTTTTTAACTAATAAAAACAGGTGACAGAAGAAACAGTTAACCCAGAAGCTGTGGACAAAAGCAGCTTTAAAGATGAAAAGCAGATAACTTCAGGCACAAGAAAGAAAACCCTTATCAAGAAGAGAAAAGGAGGGTGGAAATATGCAACCCTTTTGCTTGGTAAGCATTTTCTAATCATGTTCAAAATGTGGAAATTAAAAGTGATTCTAATTATTTTAATTTCATTTAATTGATTTTTACTTTTTTGCAGCTAATCAAGGCTTGGCAACTCTAGCCTTCTTTGGTGTTGGTGTCAACTTGGTCCTGTTCTTAACTAGAGTTCTTGGTCAAGATAATGCTGATGCTGCAAATAATGTCAGCAAGTGGACTGGAACTGTTTATATGTGCTCCCTTATTGGTGCATTTTTAAGCGATTCTTATTGGGGTCGTTACTTGACTTGTGCAATCTTTCAGATCATATTTGTTTTGGTACGTTTGTATCGAAAACTGTGAAATTCTGTCATTTAATGTTAACCTATGTTAATTTGCTTATAAATTTGTGTATCTTAATTAGGGTCTTGCTCTACTATCGGCATCCTCTTTCTTCTTGATCAGGCCACAGGATTGTGGTGACGGTGAGCTTGCTTGCGTGCCGGTTTCATCAATCTATGCTGGTGTTTTCTATTTTTCAATATATTTGGTAGCTTTTGGATATGGTGGACATCAACCCACAGTAGCCACTTTTGGAGCTGACCAATTTGATGAATCAAACCCTAAAGAAAAGGAATCAAAAGCTGCTTTCTTTTGCTACTTCTATTTTGCACTAAATGTTGGCTCTCTATTTTCAAACACCATCTTGGTGTATTATGAAGATTCAGGGAAATGGACTCTTGGGTTCTTTGCTTCCTTGGCTTCTGCAGTCATAGCTCTTGTCTCATACTTGATGGGGAGCCCCGGTTACCGGTATCTCAAGGCGTGTGGCAATCCGTTGCCACGTGTCGCTCAGGTGTTCCTTGCCGCAGCGAGGAAATGGCACGTCCCTCCTGCTAATCCTAATGAATTGTATGAACTTGCAGGACCCGATTCTGCCATCAAAGGCAGTAGAAAGATTCTTCACAGTGAAGACTTAGAGTAAGTATTCAAATCTCTTGAAAAATTAGTTTTTCTATGATTACATCGAAAATAACCCGCGAGAGCGGATAGTTAGAAGGGCGTGAACTTTTTGTACGTCATTGTTCGAAACATATGCGCTTGTTTTGGTAAATGGAGATTGAATTTATGTTAATGTTTCTTTGTCAAAATTGTGGTCAGGTTTTTGGACAAGGCAGCAACAATGACAGAGAATGATCTCCAAGAACCAAATGATCCATGGAGACTTTGCACTGTAACTCAAGTTGAAGAAGCCAAATGTGTCCTCAAAATGTTACCCATTTGGCTCTGCACCATTATTTACTCAGTAGTTTTTACCCAAATGGCCTCCCTCTTTGTTGAACAAGGAGATGTAATGAACTCCAACATCGGAACCTTTCACCTCCCGGCTGCAAGCATGTCCGCCTTCGATATCTGCAGTGTCCTCATCTCCACCGGAATCTACCGCCACATCCTCTCCCCTGTCGCTGGAAAACTCTGCGGAAACCCTCGAGGACTCTCCGAGCTTCAAAGAATGGGAATCGGACTCATCATTGGAATGTTCGCGATGCTTGCAGCCGGCCTTACAGAAATTCAAAGGCTCAAATATGTGACTCCTGGAGAAAAGACAAGTTCTTTGAGCATTTTCTGGCAAATTCCTCAGTATGCTCTTGTTGGTGCATCTGAAGTTTTCATGTATGTAGGACAGTTGGAATTCTTCAATGGACAAGCCCCGGATGGGATCAAATCCTTCGGGAGTTCTCTGTGCATGGCATCGATTTCGCTTGGAAATTATGTCAGCAGCTTGCTGGTCAACATGGTGATGGGGATCACGGCCAGGGGCAGCAACCCCGGGTGGATTCCGGATGACTTGAACACAGGCCATATGGATAGATTTTACTTCCTCATTGCGGCGCTTACGGCTGTTGATTTTGTGATTTACTTGTATTGTGCTAAGTGGTACAACTGCATCAATCTTGAAGGGGATGAGAAGGAATTGATTGAGTTGGAGGAAGCTCAAGAAGATGATGTGATCAGAAAAGTTTAGAATGATATTAATCTTTTGCTTTTAAGTGTTGTTTACTTGTTTGATTACTTAGTTTTGATTGTTTTAGTCGTTTTTAGAAGTAGTGGTTTATAATAAAAGCTTTAGAATATGATCGATGTTCACTCGATCGAGAAAGCTTGACCTCTTGTTAGCCAGAGTTGAAGTTCAGACTTCAGAGAAATAATACTTGTAAGGGATGATTGCTTTCTTGAAATGAAGTTTTCAAGATATGGTAGTGCTAATATAAGTGTCTTTTTGCTTCTAAATTTAAGAGTTGTTTTATACTATATAGTATTCATAAGTTATTAAGACATTTCATATTGGTACATTTATTTATGTATTGATTTCTGGAACTCTATAAAAACTTGGTGCATTACGAGTACTTGCATGCTCATTTCTTTGAGGGATTTTATTGTGCCCATCTTTTTGTCTTGTATGTTGAAAAGAATAGACACATCCGTTTTGGTTAGTTTTAACCTTTTATGAGAGTATGTCCCTCGTTTATTTTGTATATTTTTTTCTTTTTTTTAATACATATTTACATTTCCCAAAAAAAAAAAGGGAGAAAAAATATCATAATTAGGGTTATGAATAAACCGACCATTTCATTTTTCATTTTTTTTCCATATAGCAAAAGTAATAAGAATAACACGTGTTAAAGCTTTTTATCATCGAGCTATTTTCCGGAGGACGTCCCCAACACAGGTAATCCTTTTCATGACCTAAATCTCTAAATATGCATGCACTGATGTATCTGTCTTATGGGCTACCCATAACCCACTTGCTTATTAATTGATACTTTTCTTCTTAGTGTTTTCACATCAATGGGGAACCTTATACACAAACAGTGATGAAGACAGTGCCAAGACCAACAACCCACTTGAAATTCAGAGCAAAAGATCATCATAAGTGAGTCACCTTCTCAAAGAGCCTATCAGATTCTGTTGATATGCTGGCACTAATGGAGTCCCGTCACATTAATGACGACCTTCATGTTTGATTCACCAAATATGGGTCGTCTCAATAATCATTAATCTCCTGGCTTCCACAATCACATAATTAGTGTTTATTTACGGTATGAAAATCTTGCGATTTGTCTAAAACAGTCCTATAAGATTCTATTATAATGAGGTTAATTTATCTACTTATCATTGGTTTAAATTTTCCGTTAAAACTTAAATACTATTGTTTGTAATGAGATGGACAGATCAAAATGAACCATTGAAGGAGTATCAAATTCTACAAAGCAATTTGCTCCTTTCATTTTCATCAAATAAAACTAAGTTTCACTAGATTGAAGTTTGGACAGGCAACTACCCTTACAGAATGAGAACTAAGTCTGTGGCCCAAAAGGTCCCCGGAAATTTTACGTTACATAACTCAACTTGATCGAATAACTCAAGTTTTGTGTCTTGTAAGAATGATATATACCCATCTAGCTATATGCCTTTTTGATCTGTCATTGTCCCACAAATTAATGGCTTTCCTCTTTATGGAGTAGGGAGTTGTCACGTGAATTCAAAATAACACTGTTCCTTCTGCTAACTTGTCAGCTTTTGGTATATGCAGTAATACTGTTTCTTGCACTAGAATATGCCAGCAATTCCAGGGTTGCTTCTTTTTTACCCAATTGAATAAATAATCTCTGATTTAGCATGTGATACTTGACGGATTTTAAGGGGGTTGCCATGAATTCAGCTTAACACTACTGTTTTTGCTAGCTTGTCGGCCCTTGCTACATGCAGTAGTACTGCTTGCACTAGAATTTGTCGTTTAACCCAGTATGTGAGAGACCCAACTAAATAGATATTACTTGGTTCAACACACATGACAGTAGAAAGATTAAGAGGGAGTTGCCATGAATATTATTACGGTAAGTGGCTCCATTATTTAAACTCAGAAACAAAAAAAAAAGAACAAACCTTCTTAACCGTTAGACCAACCCTTTAAGATTAATTTATAATAGCTTTTTAGTCTTTGGTACAAGCAATAGTACTATTTATTTGCACTAGAATATGCCAGTAATTCTAAGGTTGTTTATCTCAAACCCAATTGAATAAATATGATCCTATCCAACTCGTGATGCTTAATGATTCTAACTCAAAAGACTTTTCGTTATGATATCATCGTTTAAACTAAAGATGTATCAAGATACTTCTTTCTAGTTTTTACCTTCCTCATATACATATATATTGCAGGATACATGAATCAAATCAAATAGTGATACGGTCTATCTTTTGATTTAACCAATAAATGAATGAATGAAAATGTGACAACACTGAAAAAAATAGAGTCAATTTCTAGCTTTAAAATCATCAACATCATCCCTCATTTACAAGGAAAAAGATAGAGTATACTTTCACATGGAACATTTCAAACCAGAAGATTATAAAGTAGTGTGGCTAGCAAGCACCAACTGGCTTATCCAACAGCACCAACAAGTCTCAATTTGCGTATCAAATTATCATAAAAAATTGGTAGCAGATGATCGTTCATGACCTAATATTTTGTACAATTTTCATTATGCTGTAGGGACTCAAATAGTGGCTAGAATGTTCATAATATATAGTCCAAAACTATGATGTGAAATAAGGGATTTTTCTTCATATAATTTATCACAGGCCAGCTGGCTAGCTTAGAAAGTTGACCAATTGATTTTATCAGTCATGAATTAACATCCAAACCCACCTAGCCAAGACAGAATATTGCTCATTGTATGTTTGAATATAATTCTCTAGTGATTGGCCTTCCAGGCTATGAATTTGATCAATGGAGCTCTTGGCTGGAAATTCACTGAACTTTTGATGCTCTTTGAAAGGTGTTTTATCCGTTCTATATCTAATCCTAGACGATTGTCTTATCGTTTCATGAAAAACCCAAAAAAAAAAAAAAATAACCCTTCTGTGCATATGATACGTGCATAATCAACCTATGAGACACAGATAGACTGGCTATTGGGCAAGGTGCCCAAAGTCTCTCTCCGATAGTCCGTATTCCTGGGTGTTTAAGGTTATCTTAGTGGGAAAAAAAAGGTGTACTCTAAAGCATCAGGTCGGGCCTATTAGGCCAGGCTTGTGGTGTAGGATTGGCTTATGAGGCACTATTTTTAAGTCCTTTGGACTTGAATGATATTGATGGCTTGGGTTAGGTTCGAGTTTGGATTCTATATATATAGGTAAAAATAAACGTTCAGATAATATATACTGGTTAAAGGTCTTTTTATTATTTTGGTGAGAAAGTTTTCAGTGGTATGGGTATATGTTAATGTATGTTTGTCTAGTCATGACACATGTCCAAGTCATATACACTGACATAGCAATCTTTTGATTAGAGAGATACATACTGAAGAATTACATTGTAAAATTTTAATTGACCCATCAAATATAAAAGTCTCTGTTCAATTTTTTTTTTTGGATGCATCCTGGGCCTAAATCAAGCTAAATGGGCAACATTATACAAGCCCATTAGGTAAGGTTGAGCTCTTTACTACTGGGCCAGTGAAGTCTTTGATCATACTTAGCAGGCTCAAAATGTTTTGAATTTGGGCCTACATGCACAATGTTATACAAGGCTAACAAAATTTGAGCCATAGAAAACATACACTAATTGGGTTATTTAAGAGCCTTGTTTCAAATCATAAAATTAAATTTCGAATAATATTACAGTACAACCCTTTTAGTTTTTATACAAATTTTTTCTTACAAACTTAGGTGGTAAAAGATGACTAGATTGAAAGTTTATTTTAAATTTAAAATCACTCAATCATCTTTTGCTATATAAGTTTGTGAGAGAAAGTTTGTTTAAAAACATTGTGGGTGTAGTATTATTGTTAAATTTTCCTTATCCTATCCAATATCTTTGCGACACGTGTTATTGAAGAAAATCTTTATTACGCTCGTTCTATATTCTATTAATTAATCTAGCCACACTATATTTACGCTTATGGTTTACACACATCTTTGAATTGGTTGATTGTTTAAAAGTTTAGCGTATTCAGGATTTTCTTGTGCTATTATTATTATTCAAGTATGGTTATTTGGATTAAATGACTATCAGGTTTCTTTAACCATTCAATAAAATCAATAGTAAATAACAAATAAGAAACATATTGATGTCAATGTCCCACATCGGTTAAGAGATGATAGCATTTTTCGTTTATATAGCATAAGATCATCCTCACTACCCATATGTGTATTTTTTGGACAAAACTGTTTTGGTTTCAAGACCTAAAGCGGACAATACCTCTAAGAACTCACCTATTATGTGTTTGGATCTAACATATATCAACAAAACAAAACAACAATAAGAAATAATGACTATATCATACTTGTAACAAAACATACCATATTAATTCATATAATCTAGACGCCTACACGGATCTCTTGATTGGTGGATCGCACAAAAACTAATATACTCAAAACCTTATTATGTTATTATTGGATTAAATGATATTGTCAATTTTTTTTTAATTATTTAATAGAATCATGAGCAAATAACAAACAAATAAACAATGATGTATAATAACCACATAATATTTAAAGCCACATTTAATATCTAAATTAATACCAACATCCTCTTTTAAAATTTAATGCTATTTTAATAAATTGTGACCATATCATAAAGTATATAACACACCTCTCAAGATTCCATTGAAATTGAAAACAAATGTACTTTTAATATTCAAAATCTATAACCATCAAATTTAATATTCATCACAATAGACTATTTTCATAATATTTAAATCAAAATTATTTGGGTTCTCCCTAGTTTAAGAGAATTTGATGGAATTTTCATAAAGGTAAGGGAAGTGAGAGATAGCATTGTAGATGCAAAAAATTTATGGTTACAGAAATAGGGTCTAATCCTGTGAGGTTGAGACCACTGATAATCCGTTGAACCTACACACATGAAGAAACAAGCGTGAAGCTTACGGAATACACTAGTGTGGTGTTTGTCGTAGGCACTCCGACGTTCAAGTCAGCAAAACTGAAAGAGACAATTTAATAAGAATTAAGGGAAATAAAGATTACCAGGAGTTTTATCGAAGACCAGGACTACGACAAAGACGTTAGGTTCTTGGGAGCAAAGAACTTATGAGCAAGTAGGTAGTAGTCAGTATTGAATATTCCCCTCCCTAATGAGAGGTCATGCCTCTGTTTATATAGTGAACATATGATCTTTAGATCCTAGTAGGACTTTAAGTCCATAATGATAGAATTTTAGTAAATAGGAGAGTCCTGATTTACTTACCTTTGAAGGAGTGAGAGTCCTAATTTATATGAAATTCGGGATCTTAGAAAAATTAGGATGTAGGTGAAATATGAAGCAAATAAATAAGGTTTTGAGTAGACTGGAGCAACCATGGGCCTGGACCCAAGTGGGCTAATGATGAGGCCCGATTTGGATGGTCCAACCTGTGAGGGATTAGGTTGGCACACTAGGTTGACATGTGGCATGGATCTTATAGTGAGCCTAGCCAGAATTGGGCCATGGTCCTGAGCCATGTCGTAGGTGTTACGCGTTTGGGCCTGATAAGGACCAAGATGATTTTTTGCCCATACAAGCATCAAAGAGGGTGTATTTGCTTTAAAGATAAATATTAATGGGGATACAAAAAAAATTGCCAAACAAGTTTGGGTAGGTTTAATAATACATGTTTTTTTATAACAATTTTTTACACATGGTTTAAGTCTTTTAAATTAATGTACTTAAATAGTTAAATCTAACTACAACATAACTTCTCTGTATTGATATTCTATATAAAAATGACCTCTATGTAGTCCTAAAAACTTCTGGTCCCAACTTTGGCCAGTTATAAATAAGAATAAATTTCAAATTGTAATAAGTTATAATTTTGTTAGGTCCCGTCTTAAGGAACTTGCCTCTAAATAGCAATAATTATATGCATATTGTAAAAACTATATGCTATGTTACATTAAAGGTTTAAAATAAAATAAAATATTTATCTAAAATTGTTTGGGACAATGATTTATGCTTTAGGGTTGTTACTACATCTTTTATCTTGTGGGTACATAATAAGCTATCAGTATTGATACCTTATTGTTGAAGTCAAAATATTTCTAGCTCTCAAGAATGTTTAGAGCTTCTTGGCATGAAACTTTTGGTATTTCCGTACTATCATCCTCAAGATTATCTCATTCCTCTTTTTGTCTAATTATAGTAATAATTTCTTTTTCAATTAAAACATATACGACTTGTTGTTTGTTTGAATTATTGAGGAAAACATTAATATCTATTTGATTAATATAGTGAAGTTGTCAAATCTGATAACTCAATTTTATAGTGACTGTATGATATCTATTTTCGTATTACCCTAATGCTACAAAAACAATGAATTAAAATCCTAATACTACTAAAACATGAATTATAAAATAAGAAATCAAAACAATAATTCTTGTAACTACATCTCTATTAAATTATAACTTTCTTATAATAATAAATTTAATTGGTTCAAATATTATGATTATATAGAAGTTCTATTGTATATCATTTTTAGAGTACATTAATAATACAAGCCTGTTAAATTTCAATAATTCAAAGTATATTGATTTTATAACTACTATTTTTTGAGTTAAAAAATTAATACCCTGAACGTATTCCTTATTAATTTGTAAATAACTAATCATTAATATTTCATATTATCATTGTATACTTATTATTTCAATTTATCTATTATTAACTTTTTGGTATAAACGTCCATAAATTTTTAACATGCAAACCAAAGTCAGCAAATTGTAGTCACTAGTTTAACAAAATTTCAAGCACAACTAATCGCTAGCCTATGTTCACAAATTAAAATTTTAAAACGTTCACGTTTGATATGATAAATTTCATTTATTGATCGACTGAAAAAAAAAAAAAAAAAAAAAAAAAAATCTCAAAACCTCCCCCTAATGTTGACTAACTTGTCTTGCACTTTGTGTTGTAAGGGGATTAGAATCAAACTTCTAATAAATATTTGTTGAGGGTATCTCTATGATAGGGTAGACATTAAGGGAGGTAAGTGGTATTCACCTAAACATGCATCATAGCATGACACAACATCCACAAGCTGTTAACATCACCACCAGTCAGCAGTCACACGCTCACACCTTGACACGTGTCGTGGCCTCGAATATCCCTATGCATTTTACTGTAGCAAATAACTCTCGACTCTTGAGGGTGTTTTTGAATAAGAGGTAAACATCAAGCGACCTAAAAACATTCACCAATACACGCATCACATCATGACGCAACATCCAAAAGTTGCTAAGGTCACCAACAGCCGCAAAGACTTACACTCTTATACTTGACGTGGCCTACAATATCCCTCAACATTCAACACTAACAAATAACTCTTGAGGATGTTTTTGAATAAAAGGTAAACATTAAGGATCCAAATAGAATTCATCAAAATATGCATCGGAGCAAGACGCAGCACCCAAAAGTTGTTAACGTCACCTGCAGTCACACAAGACTTGCACACTTACACGTGATGCGGCCTAAAATGTCCCTCAGGTTTAACAGAATAATTACGATTTCATTCTTAAAGTTTGGCGTATATAATCGAGTCTAGTGGGATTTTTTAGAATTTTTTTTTGGGTGTCTGACCCGATTTGTAAGTACCTCAACTAATCTCCCAAAGACCATGAAATTAACAATTAGGTATATCTTCTAATGGACACCCTTATTAGTTATTAAGGAGAGTCGAACTCAAAACCTCTTAAGTAATACACCTAAGGTCTTTATATCCCCACCTTATCACCCAAGAGTCTGTCCCTCTTAACATTTCTAATTTTTGTCTTACTAGTGATTTAGATTAAAAATGTTATTAGAGAGACCAAAAATTCACTAAAAAAATTCTACTATCCTCAGTTTTATTAAGCCAAATGTTACTAATAAAATTATAATTTCTCACATTTAACACTAACAAATAACTCTTAGTAGGATTTTTTTAGTAAACTTTTTGTCCTTATTAAAATTTCCAACTTTTGTCTCACTGATGATAGGGATAAAAAAGTATTGACAAAGACCAAAATTTACTAAAATTTTATTAGACTCAAGTTTTATTGGGCCAAAGCTCAGAGATGAAATTGTAATATTCGCACATTTAACACTAACGAAAACTCCTTAGGGTGTTTTTAATAAATGTAAACATTAAGGGACCTAATTGATATTCACTAAAACATGCATCTCAGCGTGACACAACATCCAAAAGCTGCTAACACCACCAACCGTCACACAAGACTCACACGAACACACGTGACGTGGCCTTGGGCTTGTGATCAATCCCTCTACATTTATGATTTATCCACCTCAGTCCTCTCACATTATCAACCACATTTAAACCTCAGTTTCGATTCCGCCTTTTTATTCAATTTATTTATTTTAATTTAAAAACTTTTCTCGATATCTTTTTATTTTTTCTCTCTCTTCTTCTTTCGAGCCCTAGCTTTCTCTCTCTAGGGTTCTTCTTCTTCTTTGCCTCCAAAATTTTCCCTCACTTTCTCCTCAAATTTTCTCTCCTTCGTTCGTTACTCTCCGCTTCGGATCTCGGCGCGTCCCGCCCGTGCGTTGAAGATGGACCTCGGTGGCGGCCGCAAGCGGGGAAGGCCCGACGCGGCGCTCAACGGCAATGGGGGAATGAAGAAATCGAAGCAAGGTTAGTGTTTGTTACGGTTTTGTTCGTTTCTGTTAGTTTTACGTCGTCATTCTCTGGAAGTTTTGTAAATTTCGTGTTGCGAAGTTTGGCTGTACTCAGTAAGTGTGCGGTTAAGTACAAAAGGCGTGATATTGATAACGTTTAAAGCCTTTTTAGTTGCTGAGAAAGTGAATTGAAGGTTGAAGGGTGAAGTTGAATTATGGAATTGTTAGTTAGTTTGAGAATCTAGAGGCTGGATTGTATTGTATGAATTGTTAGATTGCTTTGATTGTTAGATCTTGGTAATGTTTTCGCTGTTGTTTTAGTAACATGCAACATGAAATTTGTAACATTCGTTGTATTAGTTAGGTTTAGTATTATTTGTGACAGAATAATTTAGAAGCTGTTTATGATGCACATTATTTTAAATTATCTTACAAAGTTTATATTTTGTAAATGAACGTATGGGGAATGCTATGTGTTATGCAAGTGCTGTGAATTATCACTTTGCGGTAAACTATTCAGGGGATAGGTTCTGTTTATGGTGGATAGATGGTCTGAGTCTTGTCCTTTTGTGTGAGTGACCAAGCAAGTAAATGATTAAAGCCTAATTTTGTAATCCATGGAAATTAAAACCAGGGGAAACTGGGTTTTTAATATGTCGTCTTTTGTTTCGTGTAAAATATGTGGGGACGATACACTTTCTTTGAGATTAATTTCATTTACCTGAACAAAGCAAGCTAGTGCAAGGTTTCTGTGATGCAATAGAGTAAATAAAATTTATTTTTGTTACTTGAAATTTATATGTTTACTGTTTGTGAGTTTAAGCTAGAAGAAACATGAGATTTGAAAGCTCTTTTGTCTCCACTTTTATTCCTTGAAATCTGTTATTGTCCATGTGCCATTGTTGTTACTATTTGGTTTAGATTACTTTGACATAGTTTCAGGATATTTTACTGAATAGTATTAGTTTCTATGAGGGTTGGGCTAATTTTGCTGAAAGTAAATTTTAGGAATCATCACATGGCAGGAGTGTCATGTTTGTGATAGATTATGATGTTGATGGATTTCTTTCCTTTGGTATTGTATTTTTCTGTATTTATTTCGTCTACTAGGGTTGCACACTTTTAGTTTTCAATACTATGCTTACTTTTAAGTTGAGTGGAAATTTAAGTCATTTGGTTGCATCCTTTCTAGGTGAACTTTTAGCTGTGTAAATGGTGTGTGGTTTCTTTGGCTTTTAGTTGGATTGTGTTTTTCCATATCTTGTTCTTCTCCTTCTCTTGCTTTTCTCTGTTAATGTTGGCATTGGTTTCTTAAATGTGGAAATGATTGATGTTCATTTTTCTTTGATATCCTGTAATCTATGGTACTATATTGCACTTTATGTTATAGAAATTAGATTGTGCAGTCTGTACAGAGATGATATATACTGATTTTACACTGAGCAGATCCATGAGAAGTAAAAGAATGTGCAATTTTTTAACTACCTGCAGTTTTTTTCCTTTGGAAGTTGAAAATTTAACTCAGCCAAGTTACTTTGTACGACTTAAGTTGGTTAATTTTGTTTTCTTGGGAACCAGAAGAATGAGAAACATATAATATAAATATTCTTTTTTCTTAGTCCCTTAAATTATCTGCAGTGAAACACAGGCAGTGTATAAAAGGCCCATAACTTTTTAAAAAGCTCTTCCACTCTAGGACCTAAATATGTAATTGCTCTTCCACAATTTGAATCTTTTAATTTTAATGAATCTGGTGATATATTTATACTTTACATAAAAAATGTTGATTGATTATTTAAATTCCAGGAAGCATTACTTTGTCAGTAAGTATGAGAAGTTTTAACTTATTAGATATTCCTTAAAGTTCCAAGATTAATAACTCACTGAAATTGTAACTGAGAGAAATTAATTAATGTTCTGCAACAGAAATGGAGTCCATTCCAACTGGTATAGGAAGCAAATCGAAGCCATGCACAAAGTTTTTCAGGTTCAAATCTTAACCTATCTAAAATGAGTAATGTAAATGCAGTTCTATCTATTTGTAATATTTATAATTTGTAAGAAAATTTTCTTACACAATCTTTGCAAGTAAAATTTATGTGATTTGGACTAATGAATTGGAAACTTAAGTTGTGGTACAGGTCAAACTTTTGTTCTAATCACAAAAACAAAGACTATTGAACACAGAAATGGTTGATTTCTGAGGGTACCGTCGGATTAACTACTTGCAGGGCTTTATGTTAACTGAAAGCAGTTGTTTGGGATGCAAAATTTGCCCACCATATAATGATTATTTAGAATTCATTAAAATCATTTGCTAGTAAAAGCCATCAAATCTGGACCAATGAATTGGCATCTAGAGTTCTGGAAAAGGCTATTCAATTGTTTGTGGTAACACTTTCTGAAAGGATGTGGTTACTTTTGTTATTGTTTCTTTTTCTTTTCTTTTTGCAAGGGCTTGATTTGACTTGCCTGTGGCGCAGAATTTGTTCACCATGTTTTTTGGGTCACATTGTGTATTGTTTTTTTCTCTCCCTCTTTTAGTTTTTCTCTCAATTACTTTTCATGTTTTTACATCTATCCCAGCCACACTCTGCTGTAAAACTTGATATAAATCAAAATGTTTCCACTACTTTGAAACTTTGTATCATGTAAAGATTTATTTCAAATCTGTTTTGAGGTTAAAATTGTTCATTCATGAAATTGGTCTGATATATGATGCAATCGGATTAAAGCTATGCCTCTATTTTAAGATCCCAAAATGCCTTGAAACAAGAACTTATATGTACAATATGTGCTGTCGTTATACAATCTGGCTAAACTAGAGTTCAGAATTCCATTTATAAATTTGTGCCTTCTTAACTATCAAAATATCCTTTTATTTTCTTATTTAAATTTAAAATAATCTTAATGTACAATGATCCATGGTAGTGTTAATGAAATACATGTTTTTTGCCTTAGCTCAGATGATATTATAGCCGTTTATAATATCTGTATGTTTTTAAGTTTTCTCCTATAAATATCTTTTTGAATTTAGCTCATTACTCTGTAATTGAAAATTTCATGCCATATCAATTGCCTTTCAAGGGAAGCAATTACTTCTTGTGATGAAAATCTGTGTTAGCACAATCTCTTTTTCCTTAGTCTCAGTTGAATTTATTGCTAATCTGTGCTGCTTGTTTGTTTTGAGCAATGTTTCCCAGGACGTGGATTTCTAGACTTTTGGGCTGTATAGGGAGAATTATTCTTTGCCTTTTATGCTGAAGAAACAAATGTTTGCCTTGTTTTTATTCACCCTTGGAGATTAATGAACAAGATGGGATGAATTGATAGGTTTTCTTTTGTAGTTTGATAATTCTTCACACTGAATGAAGTTTCTATCATTTCTTTGCCTAATATTTTGTTCTATCTGTTTATTTTCTTGCCGGTATGTGCCAGCTAAAAAGAAAATGTTTGACCAATTTGTTGTTTTACTTTTAATCCAACAAGGTTCTCTATGCCACCAGTCTGAAAGTTCACTCCATTTATCGTCTTCAATGTAGTGATAAATGTGTGTGGCTATTTCTATCCTAGCTTTGGTAGTAAATGGTTAGTGGCTTACCGTTTCAGAAAGGTCTAGAGTCCAGTGCTTTTTCTGTTGGGAGTTTCTGAGTTTATTTGTCTTTTGTTTCTTTCTTTAACCGCTCTGGAAATTTCCATATGCATCTTCTCATATGGGTTCTGATCCATAGCTTTTGTTTGTTTTGCAGTACTTCTGGGTGCCCTTTTGGAGAGGGATGCCATTTCTTGCATTATGTTCCAGGTGGTTTTAAAGCCGTGTCCCAAATGCTGAACCTTAGTGGAACCCCTGCTCTTCCTCCAGCTTCTAGAAATTCTCAAGTCCCTCCATCCTTCCCGGATGGCTCATCTCCTCCAGCTGTGAAAACTCGGTTGTGCAACAAATACAACACTGCTGAAGGTTGCAAATTTGGTGATAAGTGCCATTTTGCCCATGGTGAGTGGGAGCTTGGCAGGCCAACTGCTCCATCTTATGAAGATCCTCGTGCTATGGGACCAATGGGTGGCAGGATGGGAGGTCGGGTTGAGCCTCCTCCACAAAGTCTTGGAGCTGCAGCTAGTTTTGGGGCCTCGGCCACTGCTAAGATCAGCATTGATGCGAAGCTTGCTGGAGCCATCATTGGTAAAAATGGTGTGAACTCCAAACAAATCTGTCGCCTTACAGGAGCCAAACTTTCGATTAGAGACCATGAGGCAGATCCCAACTTGAGGAATATCGAGCTGGAGGGTACATTCGACCAGATCAAACAAGCCAGTGCCATGGTTAGGGAGCTAATTGTAAATGTTGGTTCCGGCTCTGGACCTCCGATGAAGTCGAATTCCTCGTCTCAGTCAAACAACTTCAAGACTAAGCTCTGCGAGAACTTTGCGAAAGGTTCCTGTACCTTCGGCGACAGATGCCACTTTGCCCACGGAGCGGAAGAATTACGCAAATCGGTGATGTGAGGTTGGGCTTAGGGTTGATGATGGCCATGGCCTGTTTTCTTCTTCTTCTTCCCTCGTTGTTTTAGGACTATTAATTGTTGTTATAGCCTTTGTATTTGGCGTGTTTATTATTAAGTTTTGTTTTTTTCAGATGCAAAGATGGACAAAAATTGCATATGCATAAAGAGTTAGGTTTTTCATTTAAATTTTTATTGAGATCGATCTTATTATGCCTCTCGTTTTTGGTCTTTTCTTTCACAACTTTTTAAAATGATCATGCCTTTTGCAGGATTTTATGACGATAACAAATAACAATGTCCCAATTTGGAAATTTTTAGAATATCATGGTAGTACTATCAATAATAAACTAATGCCGTTGATCACGTTTAATATAATTGTTTTGATGGTATAATAGTAATGTGTAATATAATCTAGTTTATGTATACTTTAATTAGCCGTATGAACTTTTTTTTTTATGGGGAGTGTCGACCAGTTTATGTATACTTCAATCAGTCTATCTATATTTCAACTAGTGTAAATAAATTTTGAATATTTTACAAACACAATATTTCAAATAATTTAATATAGTTTTTTTTTTTTTTTTTTAACAACATGATTAAAATGTATATGATAGAAATGAATCGTTGCAGTTCACTTTTTCCAATATGAAAAAGAGATTTGATATTATATCACATTTTAAAACATAACAATACTAAGATACAACTCAAAATTTGAATTTTATTCAATTTCCGGAAATTAGATTTGGATCACATTCATCAAACCCGGTTTTTTTATTTATTTACTCAGAAAATGAACTTGTCAGTGGCAGAAAACACTAGCATACTAGTAACCTTCAGGTTTATTTAAGGGTTTATTGACATTACTTTCTCTTGCAACAAATATAGAATGTTGAATATTTGCATAGAAAAATGCTCCAACTTAGCTATGCAATATTAATCACCTCATACTCATGGCAATTCTGAGAGTGATTGCTTTGAAACTGGCCTTTCTTCAGACCACAGACACTCCAAATTTACTGTCCCGTTCCCCAGTGGATGAAACACTTGTAAACCTCCTTGGCCTTAAACTCGTTCACGAGTCCCACACCGAGACACTTATCGACAAGCATCCATTCGCCTGGAATGAATCACAATGAAACCAAATAATCAATGAGAAAAAACATTTTGCGGAAAGAAACAAGCATGGTTGATTCTAAGCGAGTTTTCCTCTTTGGATTTTACCCAAGTGCACTAACCACTATAATCACTCACAAACTATGAAACATTCAAACAAAGACGAAAAAGAACATAACCGGACGCAGTTTAGAGATAGTTTCAGATTTCTTCAAGGTATTTCTGAAAAATCTATGAGAAGCACATTCTAACAGAGACGGAAACAAAACTTATATGTTAATCCTTATGTTCTCTCGTTTATTGATTTCTCAATGGTCCCCAATATTTTATTCTAGTTGATACCTCATGGAAATAATGTAATGAAAACGATAATAATAATAAATAAAATAAAGAAATATAAAGTATCACCATTAGGCAGAAGGTCTCCTTCAAAAAACTGTTTCTCGATCAGGCCAAACTTCATGCTTAGACCCATTGACGGAAGTAAATGAGACAAAAGATTCTGTGGGATGCAGAAGGTTGAATGTTGGATGGCTCTTATGCAAATCAGCCTGTACAGAAATACTTTGTTAAGAGTACGCAACTATGCTGATGTGTAAAAAAACCAAAATGGACAGAGGTACATATATCACCAATGATTCAAAATTAGCATTTTTACCAGCAACCATTCCAAAGACAAAAAACAGAAAACAATACAAATTGGAACATACCTTGAAAATCCACCAGAACCGGCACCAACTTTGCGAGCTTATATTAGAATCAATTTGAAAACCTTTGGATTACTTTTAGGGATGGTAACTTCCGGTCAAGAACCAACCCACCACCAATATCAAGTCTAAAAGAAGTGATTCCTCCTCCCCAGCATCATGCACAAGATCCCTCTCCAGAAACATAAAACAAGAGAAAAAGAACAAAAAGCATCTACTCCTATTAGCTTGGTTTTCTCCAATGCCATCTAAATAAAGTGAACACCCTTAGACCAATTTGCTACAACTCATACAGATCGATAACTCCCTTACAAATATCTCTATGCAGGTCCATGCTTATCAAATAATATATCAGAAATATTCTTGGTATTTGAAGTTATGCTCCTACACAAAGGAAGGTAGTTTTCGATGTATTGGTTAGCAACCACCCTATCACATTGTATCCTCAGTACATCCAATAGACCGGTATTCAGTGCCACATACTCTCATATCCATTAATCTCAATCCTGCTGTGGAGCCACTGAGATCCTTTGAATACAAATAAATTTGAAGTCGAATGATCAGCATGTAGATCACATACACCACATTAGGAATATTCAAACAGCCTCCAGCATATGCCATTGTTAGAGTGTGTGCAAGCAAGCATGTGTACTTAAAAATGAACTTGACTCTTGAACTCTAAATTGTACCACACACAACAGATTACTGAAATGCATTACCTGAAGGGAGGTGTTCCATGGAAATAATTCTACCCCCAATCCAAGGAACACTTTAAAGGCCCAATCACCACTTTTCAGTTCAATGGGGGTTTTTGAAAGTTCCGTTCCCTTTGCTCAGAAACCTTTTCCACATCTGGAATTGCCTTAGCATTTTCTGCAGTGAACAAACTACTCATTAGAATCAATGGATATATTGACTAATTGAAATCAGCTGCACTATATCAAGCTAGTTTTAATGAAAGTTCCAGATACAATTAAAAGGAAAAAAATGAGAAAAAAAAAAAAAAAAAAAAAAAAAAAAAAAGTGAGCAACTCACAACAATGGCTAAACAATATTTACCCAAATGAGTCTTGTATTGCTCCTTACTAGCGATACTAGATTGAAACTTCATGTTCTGAGCAGTATAATTTGCAAAGCCTCTCCATCCGTCCCCCAAGTTCAATCTGTTTGAGGAAAGTTATATTATGATAAAACCTAAGAAGAGATGCTAACACATAACGTAGACTCTCAATGAATGTAAGACTCACCATTGTCCTTCACCAGCAATAACTTGACATTCAACGTCGTTGTGGCCTCTTCCAAGATCCTTCAGTTCCAGAAATTCTAACAGTAACCACTGACTTTGAAGCTCAGCCACATAGTGTGTCAGTAGATATTGACCTTCATGAATCCATATCCATCACCATCATCTTCAAATAAAACACCTTTGCTTTTCCTGCAAGCGATAAGAACCAAGTTATTAGCAGCTAATGGCAAGCAGGTAATATCATTGCTAGGTTGGAAGAGTTAATCAAACTTTACTTAACAAGTTCAAAAAGAAATATTAAGGCACAATTAAATGTGCAATTTATCCCTATTTCATCACATTTGATAATTTCAGTACATAAAAAACACTCTGGTATCAACATTGTTTCCTGATGGTGAAATCAATTTGAGCAAGCTCCAAAATTTCATGTTCAGGCAATTTCAAATTTCACAGTTTTAATATATAATACAAAAAAATTCACGATAAAGATTGCAGAAACTATTAAATAGAGGTTCTATTCTTGTACTGAAAACATTGAATGCATCAAAATTACCATTTTCATCAAAGCCACAAGAAGTGTCAAGTCATCTGATGGATCAGATTCACCAACATGCTGAGGGAGACCTACAGGTACAATATCCGCCTTGCAATATAAAGCTGGTAATCCTGATATACCCAAAAAAAAAAAAAAAAAAAAAAAAAATAAAACATCTAAAAACATCAGGAAAAGATAAGGAGATAGATAGTACTCTAAAGATGTATAAATTCGTCCACGACATACCGGATGTAGTCATCAAAATCGAAAATTTGCCAAATTCCCTTGGCAATGTACACTGTAACTTATCCAAGCTCGATCAGGCATGGAACTAATGAGAAGAAATAGCGATGTTAGTATATTTAAAGTAGAACATAAATTCTCTAAATTCTCTACTCTCAACAGCATATGGTTGCCATGTTAGCAGGACATCCAGCAGTAAAATTCAAACAATTTCAGTATATAATCTGAAATGAAGAAGATCAATATCTGATACTGAAGAATAGAAGGAACTATCGCAAACTTTTGTGACACTGAAGCCTGTATCTTGAAAGCAATCTTCAGCAGCATATTAAAAAACACATTTGAATGTATGGAAAGGTTTAAAAATTCAAAAATTATGCTTAAAGTGTTACAAATATTCAAAAGGAATAAAAAATAATTGGAAAATGGAAAATTAAGACATGCAAATACAGCTATCGCTCTACTGTCCACTAGTATTCCATCTCTGAGGAAGGAAGCATACCCTGCACAAACTAAAAGTGGACCCAAATGAATTTTCAAGCGTTCTCAAGCTGGGATCTTTTGGATCTGCACAAGCAAATACATATTTTTAAATCTCACATTTAAAAGAGTAACATAATTCATGAAGCCCCTCATGGAACCAGATTAATCAAACCACAATAGCACACCAGCAAAAAAGGTAGGAGTTGCCACCGGAACGCCGGTTGTATGAGCAATATAAAAAGGAGTGTATATGTGGTGTAGAGCGGTAGCGCCTCCTTAGGCCAGCACAAACTTCTTCACACTGGTCAACAGAACTGTAGTTAGTCTTAGATATTAAATTGGCAGTGTATAAATCTAAACTCAAAAGAGAATCATGAAATTTTAACCCAAATAATAATAACAGTAATCAATGACTACAAGGGAAGGATTCAGGCAGTGACTTCTACTCATTTTATATAAATTTCTTCAGTCCAGCTCAATATTTGTTGGACTACTCGCTATAATGTTTAACTTCCCTAGCTCTGGCTTTGCCTTGACTCATATTGTTCACAGTGCTAGTTAGTTAATGTTGCTCTCAATCTGTCCTCAGACAGCAGTTCTGCAATATTTTTAACCCTGTTTGATATTTTATTTCCTTTCCCTTCATCCTCCAGCTTTATGCCAATTCGATGATGACTAAATGGCACTAGCTTCTGTTATTCCCTGGGACAATTCATTTCTTTTGGGACGAGCACATATTCAATCAAGAGTTTCAGCAAAGTAATCACCTGGTTGTCACCACAATTACTAGATGTTTCTGCTCTGGCATACTCTAGTTAAGGAATTACAATCCTCCCCCTTTACTGTGATAACAGAAATGCTGTACAAATTGTGAGTAATTTGGTTCAGTGAACAAACACACCGCATCAAATCAGTTGCCCTTTACTTAGTCAGCATTATCTTGCTTAAATATTCTTGCTACCCATCTCCTAAAAGGATTTTCAAATATATAACACATTTTCAAGATTTCTTTCATATACTAGAAGCTCTGAAGTATGATGTATTAATGTGTTCAAAAGAGCAAAGGATTTTTTATTTTTTAGTTATTTAGAGCAATATTTCTGTATATGTGAGGTCTACACATGCTACACTTACCTTCCAACATATATTTGAGTTTGAACACTGATAAACAATAGTTCACAATAATTATTCTTATAACTCTAATATGTAAGACTGCTGGCATAGTTATAATTGAAGTAATCTGCATATTGAAGTTTGCAACCAGAAAGAAGGTAATTATCAAATTGCTTTACAAAAGACCAAGCTTTGACAAACCTCCTCACCGAAAGACCGGGTTCATGGTCATAGTTACAGTTTCAGAGTGCCCACGACAAAAAGGAACATGGCACCGACACCCATCCACCGTCCAAAAAGTTTGGGTGTTGCGTTTCCAGCGAATCCACCAATATCAGGTCCTGAAAGTGGTTGGCCACTGAGTCCCTGAACACAAAATAAACCATGTATTAGCATAGAAATTACCAATTCCACTGCAGCTAAAGTCACAACTGATTCCACTAGCATTTACAATGAACATGCAGCTCTATACTTTGCTAAGTTAGAAACTACAGAAGGTGCAATTATGGGGGAAAGAATAGACAAAAGCACAACTTATACAGAAACAAACACAATATATTTAGTGCTTAAACATGCTTCCTACAAACAGCAAAAAACATCCAAATTTACTTACCAATTGAAGTACCATGGAAATAGACAATGAAGGTGCTCCCAAGTTGAAAGATATCTCCCGTCCATGTTGCAGCATATCTCTGGCTACCAACAAATCCAGCTCTGGTGAGAACAAAAGGACGCTTATTTTATCAGCTAATTTCATGCCTTCATGTGTAGATCTTGCCATTAACATGCCTATATCCTAATATCAGCAACCAATATCAAGAAACCAAGTTTCGAAATACTGGGAATACAGAAAGTACAAACAAGTACAACCATCATAAAAAATAATTTCAGCAAAAACTTTTACAGGATTAAGTGGAGTTTCAAGTATAAATTGCTCAGCAAAAATTTTACAGCATGTAATATGAAAGCTACCAGACTAGGGCTGAGACTATACATTGTGATAGTGAGAATGATTCTGGCAACCTCCAAGTTCTTTATCTCCATTGTGAATGTTGCTCTCAGGCATTGTCTTCGTTACTGACTGAAAGAAGAATAATGAGACCACTATACAAATAATGAAAGCCCATCAAGCAGATGCAACTGTAAGAATTACCTTAAAAACGCTGGCTCATTCATCGTTCCATATACCATCGACCCCATTAGAAACAAAATCCTTAACCAGACTTGCCCACCAAGAACGAGTTTTTGATTGTGTAAAGTCAGGGAAGACACAAGGACCAGGCACTACCCCCCTAATATAACATGAGTAACTTTAACGCCCTCAACCTGGATTTAAGATTTATACCATTAATTAAGAAAATATACCAACAAGTGTCCCTCTGCCTTTTTAATCCAGACGTCACTTTTTGCTCCGCTATCATAGACAAAATAACCATCTCATGCTTAATTCCAGGTCAAGCATCCAGATTGCTTTGAAGCAATATGGTGGAGATCCTTTACCAAAGATTTCGGATCTGAGAAATGCTCCTGCAAGAAATCATTATAACACATTTCCGATGTCAAAATGATACTATATATTGTCTTTCGCCAAGAGTCCCTCTTTATTTCTTTTTATTCTTGCATAAACATCTTTCTAATAATAATTAAAAAAAAAAAAAACAACAACAACAATTATATATGGAGGTTTATCAATTCCAAAATGTATACCAATCAACAGAGTATTGCAGTTGTCATCCATACCTTGTCAAAAGTAAAACACCGAAAACCTCCTGTAGTCGTTCCATCCATATGACATCACATGGTATACCCTTCTCGCGAAACGTTTTGCTAACCTGCAAATACAAATTGGATTATAACGAGAACATGTTCAAAAACAAGCGTCTACAAAGCAAAGGGGTAAACAACTTTAAAAGTTGTTTTCTTCATAAATAACAACAATCAGAAAGAGAACCTCATTTAGAGACGCATTAGTCAATCTGGTCAATAAGAACAAAAAGATACCAACCTCAAGAACTCTCTTATCAGAATCATAACTCCAACGGCACTGGTGATAGCCTAAGGACCATTTTGGTGGCATAAATATGGTCCTAATGAGAAAGCCATCATTATACAGCATTAGTGCGTCAGATTAACAATTAAGAACCAATAAAGAAGATTCAAAGAGCTACCTAAACATTAATCTAATTGCCAAAAGGCAGCTATTCTAAACAAAATAAGCGCAACAACAAAAATTGAAGACCCTTTTGTCATGACCCATCACCACTTGCACCAGACCCATTGGAGTTACAAATAGTGTGCCTATAATTTACTCTTTAACAGTAAATTCAGGCACACTCAAGGACACAGGCCCATGTACAGATCAGGACTTATAAATAATAATATAGACAATGAATTTAAAAATGAGCAGAAGCACCCAAATCCAAACCATATCTACTTTCTTAGAGAATAAGCTTTTGAACATATGTATATGCAGTTATGCTTTCAGTAATTTGCACATACAGAACATCAAATCCTAAAACAATTATGAAATAGCTATACGTAAGTGTCTTGACCAGAACATCCTACTTTTTTACAGTAAGTCTCCACATGATTATCATTCAACTGGTATTAATACATACTATATCTATCCTCCAGTGTTCAACAAACCGAATTCAGTAGACAAGTGTCTCAGAAACAAAATTTTAAATGGAATTTGATTCTGTTTCCATATCATCTCATTCAATTTTTATAACAACAAAGATTAATAAGGAAATGAAAACAAAATCAGATCATTTTTTTCCATTACCACACATCAAGAATATGACAATCACAAAAGAGTTAAAGTGTTGCACATGTGCCAATAAATATGGAAGTCATCGTGGCATCCTAAAACATACGAAGAAATGGAGTTACCAGTTGCATGAGACAGGGAAACCAAAACAGCAGACGGAGAAGTAAACGGGCCAAATGTTATCACGGGATATGGGGATGGAGCAATGACTGTATATTAATTCTTTCCTCAGATCAATCTGCCAGCAAGAATGGTGGTGGACCATTAAAATGTATAATATTATAATCATAAAGTTTCAAAACATTAAACTTTTGTTGAAATACTGTTAGTCCCAAAGCTTAAGAAATTGGAAAGCACCCACAAAAAGTAACTAAGCTCTTGACATCTTGTCAACCAGGCTTTGATACTAGGATGGGGCATCATTGTTCCCAAAATTTAAGTTGAAATAACTGAATATAAACTAACATCTTCACAAGTGACATAAAAACCAATGGACACCACACCTCACTCGCCGGTTTGTCAGCAAGAATTCCCAATGCCTCTCCATTTGGAAGAACACAAGCACCCAGGGAGTGACTGGTACAAGGATGTAGTTCCAGGACCGTAACCCCATGCATCTGTATTCCATTAAAAATCTAAAGAAAGGAACCGTCAAAATTTAGAGAACAGAAATATGTTTCGGCATTGTATTAAAAAAATTTCTGAAAACAAAACTCACTCTCTTTCCTGTCCGTTCTAGCTGCCCACTGACTCCCCAGTTCCATAAAATGAGGTACAACAGGAAGCTAAACCAGAACCAAATTCATCCCATTACAAGGTAGAGTTAAACACATACAACTACCATAACTTATACATATCACAAAGCATTTTAGAAAGTAAAATGAGCTAAAAAAAATATATATAACTGGCCTCAAGTTTGACATCTGCTGTCCCATATGAGATTGATACTTTGGGGTATATAAAGGGGCCTTGTGAGTCATGATTGGCATGTCCCTATCCTTGTTTATTACAAAAGAAAGACTGGGATATGCTGCATCTCTGTCATCTGCAGAACTCAAATCGGAAAACTCCATCCTCCAAGATAGGTTGAAAAATCATATCCCCTGAAATTGCATCTGCGGTGATCACCTTCCTTTGTGATCGGCCATTTAGCTACCACTCTTCCACTGATACATTTCTTGTTTAGTTTCCACTTTCTGCATGTCGAAAATTAGCATTGGATTAAGTTGCATTTTTCTTTGTTTTAAGTCACATAATGTCAAATTAACTAAATTTTGAATATGCATGAATGCATGTGTCTTAATGATGTGCTTACTATTTTCTCCGTTAAACCATAAGAGTTCATATTTCTTTTCTATAATTGAACATCAGCAAACAATTCTACTTAATTGTCCTTCCAAATGATAAGTATCATGGTTAGATATATGTTTTGTCAGTAAAAATTTTGAAACCAACAGTTTAACCATAATAATTATATATATAGTTCAGCTATTTTATTGATATATTACACATTTTTTTTTTTAATAATATAAGTTTTTTATTATTGGCTGAACCTTTTGCCAAATTAGTAAATTGGATATAAGAAATATAAAAACGAAAAAAAAAATCGATAGCCATTTTCAAACATATCAAATTGCAAAATTGTTTTAAAAAAAAAAAAAAAAACCTTTAACAATAACAATTAGATATGTACTTGAAAGAGTTGATCTGCAATTTGGTCTTGAAGCTGTTGCATGAAAACTTGAACCGAGGTTCTAAAAATATAGCTTGATGGTACTTGATTTTGATTTGCATTATCAAGAAAATGAACCGCTCATCATCACATTGAAAAATAATGAATCAGCAATTAACATCGTTCAAAGAAATTTCATCAATGCATCTTTTGAGAACAAAAAGGGATAACAAGAAGTCAATAACAAAACAGAATCTAATACCAGAATATATTCACAAGAAAACCAGAAAAGGCCACAAGTTTAAAGATATTGATAAGTACTGCAATCCAGAATACTTCTAACTTCCAATAAGTATATTTAACATCAACAATATTTTGAGTAAAATTAACCAATAAAAAAATGTATACAATAAATTAAGCTAAGCTGAAAAAATGCCCATGCATTCCTCCATTCCAACTCCAAGTGCCAAATCCTACTAAATGATATTTAAAGAAACGTGAAAACCAGATTTAACAACACTCATCATCATCTGTTCTGCTCCTAACAGTATACAATAAACACACCTATCATGGAACTTCATGAGAAGCTCACAAGGCACAGAAAAGCAATAATTTTGCACAAAATCTGTAACCCACCTCAAGCCAGCAGAAGTCCAATAGTTGCTTTTACACTTCTTCAGAGATCTCAAATGGTACAAAGAACTTGAATCAAGAATATTGTCTATGTCCACGAAAAATTAGATCAACTTTAATCATTTAACTAATGCAAACTAAAAGGACATCTAAGCAAATAGTAAGCACAAGAGCCAATAAGTATGCACTCAGAGACGAAATTTGAGTATGAACTTCAACTCAAAATAGTGCCAACTAATATTATAACCAGAAATCGAAGTATGCATTCCAATCACCTTGTCAAAAGAATGCAATGGATAAATCGTAATTTTGCAGGGGCTTAGAGAGTCTGTTACCAGTCAATCCCATCCTTGAGTAGCTGAACTGCCACCATTTAATAAGTTATGTGTTACTATTAGGCAACATCATTGAAAAGGAAGTGCATCAGGCGATTAACAACCGAAATGAAACAACCTCCAAAGGGAATAATTGTCAAAAAGAACTTAGAGAATAACCCATAAAAAAAGTTTTTTTTCTTTCTTTCTTTCTTACACAAATATCTATCTTTGAACATGCTTAAAAACTCAAGTTTAATACTGAAGCCCTGCCAAACTTTACAATAATAAAAAAGCAAGGAACTATGGCTTTTCAGCAAGGTGATTGTTCAGTATTGTTTTCTGAATATCGTTTCTTATTTTTCAAAAAAAAAATGTTAAATAATCATCAATTTTTGAAGAAAAACTGAAAAGATCATTTGGTATTTTTAGTGTTTTTGAGGACTATTTTTCCCTTTAAAGTCAGATTGCTCACTACATATAGGAAAGATAAAGTTGCCCGAACAATGAAATTTGCTTAACAATATACAACGATTTTCAGTAACATTCAAACATTCTACAAATCAATCCTTAATGCTTGTAAAACATCGTTGTAGGTTATTAAACTACCATTGCATATCATTAAAACATCATATCAGTAAGTTACCATTCTAATACTATATCAGGACCTATTTTGCACTATTTCATTCTTTTTCAATGAGTATTATTACACATACAAAGTAAAATATAGAAAGTGATGTGGCATTGTCCATTGATCGACATCTCATTCATCCTCATTTAATTAGTTACTTTTGATCTTCATCCTCTCCCATTCATTTTGGGCTACGTCACTTTTTATGTGTAGTATTATTCTTTTCAAATATCCCACGAAACACATTTTCTCATTTCATAATTCTCTTTCCAAATAGACTTTCCAAACACTAAAAGTCTAGTAAAAAACCTACTCCTAAAATTATATCAAGATATGGGTGTAAAATAACTCAATAAATAACAACATTAAAAAAAAAAAAGAAGAAGAAGAAGAAAGAAGAAATAAGGCAGAAAATTGATCAACAAAGTTCTAAAACTTGGATTTTATTTCATATATTTTCATAATTATAACATAAAATCAATATATAAAAGCTGAAAATTGATCAACAAAAGTTGTTTCTAAAAATGTTAATAATGCGACACCAAGCAAATTCTAAGAGGCATATTATCAAACACCTAACTGATTACATAATTATAAGACTACAAACCAATCACATGAAAACCGATCACAATGAACAGAATCAAAATGAGAAATACTTCAAAATTTAAACAATTAGAAAGTAAAAAGATAATAATAATATTCTTTACTTACTTAAATGAGCCAAATTAGGAACTGTTAAATTGAGAAGTGAAGTGAAGAGCCACTGAGGCGAGACTGCCAGAGGAAACCAAGATCGGGTTTTTTTTGCATTCACTGTAAGTTCTTGCGTTTTTGTCATTTTCTAGTTGTAAACTACCTGTCGGTTTCTATCTGGGTACTTAAACGACGTGTCCCTTATTACAGAAAATTAAAACGCCATGTCATTTTTATTGGGAAATACGTTTTGTATGTTTTTAGACAAACAACATGTCGTTTTTCTGACTGCTAATTGGACGTCATTTTCTTTTTTAATAATAACAAACACTGTCATGTTTTAGATCTACTTTCTAGAAAGTGTTGATATTCCTTCATATAAAAAAAAAAAAAAATTTATTTTTTTATCAAAATATTTAAAAAGAGAGCACGACATCCAGGTTTTGTTTAAGGGTATTTTAGTCTAATACTATTTTTTAGAATGAAAATTTGTATATCTATTAGTTAAAAGGACGTTAATATAGTAAAAAATTATGTTGGAGATGGGTGGACCAAAGAATAATATTATATATGCAAAAAGTTTATATGAAATTTGAATATTTTTATATGTCACATCATTCACATCAATTAATATGTATTTATTAATTTGATATTGGATATTATTCATTCAAAATATTATATAGGTATTATTTTGTATAAAATTTTTTATAGATTATTTGTACTGTAAATTAGTTGTGGATCAAAATTTAGAGACTAAAATTAATTAAGTCATTCATATGTATTAATATTGTTGTGTCATAATTGTTAATAATTATTCATAAGGTTTGGCTAAACTATAGTCAAAGAATAGTTTTTAATTAAATATATATATATATATATATATATATATATATATATATATATATATATAGACACTGAAATTAAATAAGAATTTAAAGATACTAAACTATAGAAACATAAGAATAAACACAGTAAATCATGATTACATAAGGTGAGTGGGGTCAGTAGCCCCCCCCATCCAATGTAGGTCCGTGCATGGGTTAGATGTATCTCGCATTACCAACTTTGTTAAGAATACAACTGTAACAATTATTTACATCCATAATTTATTGAAGATTTTTACTGAAAAAAAGAAGAAGTAAAAATTTAAAAGAATTAACATTATTTTTGAAAATTTGAGAAATTATAATAATTATTAATATATATGAAAATTCTCGAATGCAAATGTGTTAAAGATTTTAATTAAAAAAGAATTTGCATTGCAAAATTAAGACATTGTAATTAATGACATATTCCTCCTCATTAATAATTGACAATTCTTACACAAATCCATGAGAAGTAAAAGAATGTGCAATATTTGAACCACCTGCAGTTTGGAAGTTGAAAGCTTAACTCAGCCAAGTTAAGTTGGTTAATTTTGTTTTCTTGGGAACCATATAATCTTTTTTCTTGGTCCCTGTTAGAACCCCTCTGTTATTCCCACCTGTAGAAAACACTGATGCACTACAATTTCTAGAATTCATAATCACTGCCACAACACACAAGCACACTCAACCAAAAATTATGAAATTGTTCAGTATTACTATTAATATTCAGAAAGTACCACTACAATCTCACAAGATTAACAAGTACAAGAAGAAGAATGAATAGTGAATGACAATAAGCAGATTCCCAAGAACAAATTAAGAAGTAAAAAATAGAAAGGACAATCAGCTGACTTCGAGGGCCAGTACCTCCCCAACCCAATTCCCCTCTACTTTTTCAATACCAAAAATATTCTCTGTCAACCTTTTTTACGCTCAACTCTCACTCTAACAGAATTATTCCAAATCCAATCCACGGATGCCACCTGTCCCATGCTTATTGAGTAGAAAAAGTGTCATTTTATCCTCTTTGCCCACTCTTTTTCCTTCTACTAAAAATGTGCACCAGCGAGGTCTCATCATTACCCTCCCCAAGGAGAGCCACCTTGTCCTCAAGGTGAAAGAAAGGAAATTGGTTGTCAATAGAGGTGAAATCCTCCTATGTGTTCTCATATGTGGGCAAGCCTTTCCATTTGATTAAGACTTCCAAAGTACCATTCAAAAGTTTTCGCGTGTGTAAAACCTCTTCGGGTTCGACTTGCAATACCAGATCTTCATCCAACGCTGTTGGAAAAGGTTGGGCAGTGGGCGGTGGATACTTTGTTTTCTTGAGTTGTGACACATGGAAAACATCATGGATGCATGCCGAAGGGGGTAGATCCAAACGATAGGCCACTGATCCAATCTTTTCTTTAACTTCAAAAGGGCCATAGAAGCGGGGGCTGAGTTTCTCATTATACCGACGAGCCAAAGAACGAAGGCGGTAGGGTTGCAACTTAAGGTAAACTGAATCTCCCACTTCCAGTTGAACTTCCCTTCTCTTTGCATTGGTATAGTGCTTCATTCGGGTCTGGGCCTTGAGGAGATTCTCTTGTAACTCAGCTAGGATGACATTGCGAGTTTGCAGTTGACAATTCACTTCATCGACAGGTGATCCATGATTTGAAAATTTAAGAAGAGTGGGAGGATCACGACCATAAAGTGCTTTAAAAGGGGTCATACCTGTGGAGCCATTGAATGTCGTATTAAACCAGAGCTCGGCCCAAGAGATCCATTTAGGCCATTGGCGAGGCTGACTACTCACAAAACAGTGAAGGTACGTTTCAACACATCGATTCACCACTTCCGATTGGCCATCTATTTGAGGGTGGTAGGTCGAGCTCATGCGAAGCTGCGTGCCCGAATGTTTAAACAATTCCTTCCCAAAAGTGACTGATGAAAATCCGTCGCGATCGGATACAATCGATTGGGGAAACCCATGTAGCCAGACAATCTCCTTGATGAAAAGGTTGGCAACATCTGTGGCCGTGTAAGGATGCTTAAGGGTCAAGAAGTGGTTGTCCTTAGTCAATCGGTCAACAACTACCAGGATGGCATCGACATTATTTGTTTTGGGAAGCCCGGTGATGAAGTCCATAGATATGTCTTCCCAAACCTGCTCAAGAATAGATAAAGGCTGCAATAAACGGGCGGGACTCAAGGCTTGGTACTTATTTTGTTGGCAAACTGCACAGGAGTCGACAAACTCCTTGATATCTCCTTTCATGCCCTCCCAATATACTACACTGCTGAGCCTTTTAAAAGTGCGAAAGAAACCCGAGTGGCCCCCAACAAGAGATGAGTGAAACTCATGTAGAAGTAGTGGAATGTGGGCCCCTTTCTTTGGGACAACTAGTCGGCCATTACACAAGAGATGGTGGCCAACTAATGTGAATGGTGGATGGCCATTGGGATCCAGCAACAACTTTTGAACAATCCCACACAATTTGTCACCTTGTTGAATAACATCCTCCAATTCTTCAATACCTGCAA